TAGCGTAAAAAAATCCTCTCTAAGCCCACCAGAAGGGATCCATACACAAGAGTCAGCTCTAGCATCCGCCTATCACCTGTAACAGGGGGAAATAAATCCCTAAGTACTCAATTGTACTCAGCAAGACTTACCCGACAGAAGGAAATAAAAGACTCCAAGGATATGCAAGGCTATCTGGCTTGTGGATTTATTGCATCTGCAGGAGCATTACTAAACGTGCGTCCTTATATTCAATTTTATTAGCAGTCAGCATTAGTTTATTAACTAACCATTCTATGTAAGCACATGTGCTACTTTCAAGCAGGTGGTAAGCAATCAGAATCATTTTACCATCTTCATCTTGATGAAGACTTGTGGTGGCATCCCTTGTGTGATGAAGACCCATAATATAAGCTAGGCTTAGAAAGTGAGGATGGCCCCGGAGTTCCATAGAAAGCATATTGGGAAAAGGCAAGGAAAATGGCTATTTTTTTAACATTTCCATGAGCTCACTCTCCGTTTCTACCACAAGTCGGCCAACATCTCACACCTATTTGTTGATCTCTTGGTTTTTGTTGAGAGTGTGGTGTCATAGTGAAGATAGGTTGTGTAAGGAATGGGCAAGAAAATGCTAGTGAAGTATTACAAAAATACTGGGGAGAGAAGTATGGAGAGTGGCAGGGAGACCGAGAGAAGGAGAAAATACAAGGGGGATCAGACGTTCAACTTTGTTGTTTTTTACTGTGTTGCTATTGATCCTATGTATAAACTTTCAAATTACGTCAAGATGGCTACTATGGTAATGTTTGGTGACGAAAAAGGTGAGAAACTGTGGGCAATGGTGAACAGTGCAGAGCTAGGATTTTTGTATAGGGTATGCCGAACCAAAAATTTCATATACAAACTGATAAATATATTTAGCAATTCGGTAACATATCTTTAAAATTGCCTCATAATTCGGTAAACAACTACTAAATAGCATAATAAGTCTCAAATTACCATATAAATAGTTCAAATGAACACTAAAAGTTTGGAATATGCATGATAGAAACTTAAAGACCAAATAGGATTACAACACTATTTTTATGGGCCTACACTAATAGTTCAACTAATTCATCCCTAATTCACTCTGCGTACAATAGTATAACTATGTAACTACATCGAACTAATTTGAGGGGAAATTAAACAACAGCCAGCTACATAAGTTAGATTGGAGGGAAACTACGGTTATAGATTTGGAGAAAATTGCAAGGAGGAAGAGAACGAAAGGTAACAAGCTGCTCAGTGGCCGTGCCTTTGCTGTACATGGCCCGTAGCAGTCATCACTTTAGCAGGAAGGGAACGCCGGGCGCCTGGACTAGTGACGGAGGAAAGTCCGGCACAACAACACAGGGGACAGGGCGGCTAGCGCCTCAAGCCAGCCACGGGCCACGTGCGCAGCGACGGGGTGACTGGCAGGCCAGGCCATGGGGGCTGTGCTCAGTCGCTCCTAGCTGCTGCGGTTGTGAACTCGTGATTCACGCGGGCCGTGGAGGCGCCGACACGGAGAGGAATCGCGGAGGCTGGAGGTGTCTCGGACGCTCGTTGGTGCTCGGTTCGTTTTCTTCAGAGGGGTAGGTGTATTCTTGGGCTGGGCTTAGGGTATGCCTTGCCATACCCAGACATCCCACTGGATTCGCCAGTGACGGTGAACACTTATTTTCGTGTTATATTTGAAGAGTACAGAGAAATGTATGCTTCAAGTGACAAGGCACCACAACATGCTGATATTTAAGAAACACTAGCAAGAAGCAAAAGGTTGATGAGGTCTATATTTGCTCAACACGTGAGCACTAGCGGCGTGTGCAAGTCAATGTCAAGTATAAGCTAGACAAGTACCTTGAAAAAGATAACGAGGAGAATAAGAAAGGTTTTGACATTATGAAATGGTGGAAGGACAATGCTACTAGATTGTTAATATTGCCTCATATGGTCCGTGATGTTGTGGCAATTCTTATATCTACAGTAGTCTCTGAGTCCGCATTTGGTGCGGGTGGAAGAACACTAGATGATTTTGGTCCTGTTCGCTTATTTTGTAATCCATACTTTTTAGTTTGTTTTTTCAGCTGAAACAGTGTTTTTCTATTACAACAAATCAGCCGGAACAGTGTTTTGGCTTATTTTTTCAGCGAAGCCAACGGGGCCTTTAGGACCTCACACCAACAATGGTTGAACGACTCATCTGTGCAGATGATTGGCTTATGTACATCAATGTTGAAGAGCACACACAACAATTGGCCAAGCTTGAGGAAGGTAACTACATCGTGCTAAACTGTCAATTGTTTCTAATGTTAATCATGAACCATACACACTAAATAGTAAGTACTAACTGAGGCCTTATCACTTATTGCACAACTTGGTGCCCTGGACATTTCTAAGGATAGTGCTGATGTGCCTTGAATTGGTAAGTTGGTTTGCAAAAACATTTCTAAGGATAGCGCTCCTGTTTAATTGATCAATGTTAGTTTCTACAAATTTACTGCCTTTATGTTTCCTAGGTGCTAGCTAGATGGGATTGGTTGTTACGGGTGCTACTGCTTGGCCTAATAATTGATGTTGTGCTGTTGCTGATGGAGTATTGGAGTATTGTGGCCTGCCCCTTTGTGCTCTTGTGACTGATGATGTACTGTGGCCTGGCCTGGCCTTTGTTGACGCATGTATTGCTACTGTCTGTGCTTGTGTGATTTATGATGTACTACTGCTAAGTACTGCTTGCTGTTTGCATGTGATATTTGGTTTTCATTGCCCTGTTTGCTCAAACTTATTCAAAACTGTTTTTCAGCTATGAAATAATGTTTTTCTTTCACAACATTTCAGTATAAGTATCAGCATGAACTTAATTTCAGCATAAACAAAATGGCAAATTTCTGTTAGAACCGCTGCTTCGTTACTTGTACTAATAAACATGACACTATAGGCCTTGTTTAGATTGGGGTTAGGAATCAGTATTTGGTACTGTAGCACTTTCGTTTGTATTTGACAATTATTGTCCAATCATGGCCTAACTAGGCTCAAAAGATTCGTCTCGTAATTTACAATCAAACTGTGTAATTAGTTTTTTTTTTATCTACATTTAATACTCCATGCATGTATCCAAATATTTGATGTGATGGAGAGAGAATAAAAAACTTGCAATCTAAATAAGACCATAGTATTTGAGTTATGAACATTGTAGTGCGTACTGTCTGCCACCTTGCATGTCTGTAATATTAAATATTTGGACTTCTCTGTCTGCTTTTTCTATCAACCAACAGCCTATTCGATTGGCTGGTTGGTATCGTTGCTGATTCGTTTATGTGAGAGAGAAGTACTGCTGGCTGGTTCATGTAAATAGTATCAATGTGAGGGGGTTGACCAGCCAGCCCAGCCAGCCAGCCCCAGCCGATCACGCTGCAACTGGGCAATGTGCACCGCTTCCTTCCTCCGGTTTGCTCGGTTAAATAAAAAAAGCGAACTTAATGGTTTTTTTTATTTCTGACTAACCGGTCAGCTCAGAGTTTGTCAGTTAAAACCGAATGCCCAGACTTGTCTATATCCACCTATTTGGAAAAACAAAGAACTGAAAGTTAAAAGCAAAGTTCAAGACGCAGAGAAAATTATACTAGGTGAAAGCAGCTGTTTTTAAAAATTATACAATAGTTGGAATACTTTTTTTTTTTGACAGCAGAAGCATCTTCCGGAAGCAATTCGCCTGAAATTTGAAACCGGGCGTTTCTATTCGATCACGTGCGATCCACCACCGCCAGAGTTGCCTTTCTGCATTGTAGGGCCCACTGAACAGTGACACCGACCAGAGCCTTAAAAAATCAAGATGATGTTCTCGGCTACCAACGATCCAATCATTGCGCAGAGCACTGCAGATTGCAGTCGACCACGAGGAGAAGTTTCAAATTTTCCCGCTCGTTTTTTTTTTCCAGCATACTCCTGCCACCTTTGCCCATCCGTGTGGCGGGAACCAACCCTGCGGCTCCGGTCCTGACTCCTGGCCCGCGCGACCGCGTCGAAGCACCGCAGCTGTCCAAGCGGCGCCGGCGCTCGGCGGAGCGCGCGCACGATGACCGAACGTCCCCTTGTGGTTGTGGCTTGTGCCGTGTTCGGTCGAGCGGCGGGACGAGACCGAAGAGAACAACGCAGGCAGTGGTCCGTCACGCTGCCCCGGTGCAACGACACCCAACTACCAACCAGGATCCCGTGTGCACAACTGGCCCTGTGATACGGTCGCCTCCACTCCACCTGTACACGTTTTACTACTACCGCAAGATGCCCGAGCTGTACCCCGTCAGAATCAAAACGCTGGTGCGCTGGGCCAACCGTTTCCTCGAATTTTAAAATGGAGCGTAAACGCAGCCATGCCATGCCTCATGCCTGCCTGCTCTTGTGTCGAGCCTCGTAAATTCCCCTTAAAACACGGCGCAAGTTTAAAATACAAGGCCAGATAGCGGTTAGGAATCAATATTTGACACTGTAGTACTTTCGTTTGTATTTAATAATTATTGTTTAATCATGATCTAATTAGGCTCAAAAAATTCATCTCGTAATTTATAATTAAACTATATAATTAATTATTTTTTTATTTATATTTAATACTTCATATATGTGTTCAAAAATTTGATGTGATGGAGAGAGAGTGAAAAAACTTTGAAATCTAAACAATGCCCAAATTCGCTCGCACACCGTTTTTCTCCACCCAGGCATTTATTACCCCCACCGTCCACCACCACTGAAATGTGGGTCCAGGTATTGTCCAGGCCTCCACGGTGCACATGTTTCATCGGGTTTGACAGACTGCAGGCCTGCAGGAGCGTACGGGGAAAAAAAGGTCTCAATTCTGCTCGGTGCACTCGAAGCGACTGCCATCGCCAATTCCGTCTCGTATCTGATACTGTACTCACGAGGAGGGAAGCGGCGGGGGATCCATCCATTCGTCAGCCAACAGCAGCAGCAGCAGCCCGGAACCCTAGCTCCGGCCGGTGGCGGCGGCGATGGCTGCAGCTGCGGCGGCGCTCCGGCCGGGGAGGAGGCGGGGCGACGCCTTCGCGGCCCTGGAGGACGCGGGCTCCGCCACGCGCGGGCGCCAGGCCGCGGGAGGCGGCAGCGGCGGCGCCGGCGGCGGAGGAGGAGGCAGCGTCCGCCGGTCGAGGAGCCTGAGCCGGTTCCCGCCGCCGTCGCCGTCCCCCGAGGACGCGGCGACGCCGTCGTCGAGGTTCGTCACCAAGGTGCGGGGCGGGGGCGGGGGCGGGGGCGGGGGCGGGTTCCCGCCGGAGGTCAGCCTCGACGACCTCGCCGACGAGTTCTTCCGGGCCAGGGCGGAATCCGAGGGCGACGACGACGACGAGGAGACCGCTGCGCCTGCGCGCGGCCGGTCAAGGCTTCCGGCGCCCGCGGAGCGTGGCGGCGGCGTCGGTCGGCGGAGCTCCACCGCGCGGTACGCCAGGGAGACGGAGTCTTCGCGGCAGCGCGGGCACTCCGTGTCGCGCCCGCCAGCCGACCGGCGAGGCGTAGCGGCCAGTGCGGTGAATGCCGGCCCTGCAGCTGCAGCCAGGAGGCAGCGGTATGCGTCGGTCGACCGGCGCGCTTCGATGGATCGGCAACGGTGGTGCGATTCGGATGTAAGTGTGGCCGGGTCAGCACTCTAGTTTTCTGACGGAGTATGCTGTTTGGCATTTAGTTTAGGGATGGATTGAATTATGGAATATGGATTAAACTATTGAAGTTGCTTGGGGATATTTGAATCATGTTTTTGTGGGTGCTTGGGTGGTCCCATTGATCTATTAGGAAATCTGGTAAAGTTTTTGTTTCCATTTTGCGACAAAATTGTGAAGCGAGCAAGGTGCTTTACTCACAACAACATTCTTCTCTTATGTACGACTAAAGGTCCAATGCCTTTTACTGTTTGTCCCTCCAAGGTAGTTTGGTTTAGTTCTATACTTGGCGTATAGTGTGTTTTAGACTTGATACCAATATGGTATCCGATAATGCAACATATGCACAATACTGTGTTTGCGTCATCTAATTGTTTCTTCAGTTGTTTGGTTGATGCCTGTCTCCCCATGTACACTCTGTTTGATTGCTAGCTTCAATATGCTGGTGTTGACTGGCAATCTAAAGGGCGTACCCAGTGCGGGGTCTGGAGAAGGGTGTCAGTGGCAAACCTTACCCTCACCTGTGCAATGCGAGGAGACCGCGACTCGAACCAGGGACCTTCCGGTCACAGGCGGTAAGACTCTACCGCTTGCACCAGGCCCGCCCTTCGTTGACTGGCAATCTAGTATGAAAATATTTGCATAAGTTCAAAAGTCAAAAGGCAAAACCGTGTGGTTGTGACGCAGTTATACTTGCCTTTTCAGTCCAATTTGCTTCAGTCTTCTCATGTTATGTTTTTTAAAAATATGTTAGGTTACTCAATCCAAGTTTCTTAATACTTCCACTATATGATTCCTGTTCAAGTATTTTATGTTTGTTCCTTTCGAAGGCCCGATAATACTTATACTCTAAACTTGTCCCATTTCTGTGTTTGATGTAAAATTGTACATATCTGTTGCAGTTACATTCTTATTATTTAATCCCTGGTTTATGCTTTTGCGTGCAGAATGACATGGAAATTTCTCACCGGTATGTTTCCAGGGGGATACATACCAAAAGTAGCAGTGGCAATAGCCTGCAGAGTTCATTCCATAAGCCATCTAAAGCAAATCAAACTTTGAAGAGGTCTACAAGTCAAAAGATTTCTTTCATTCTCGAGATAGCAGCTCCGTGAGTACCTATGTCTTCTTTACATTCTGTGGACTGAAATTGGATAAGATATTTGATAGGATTACGGATCCTACCAGGCTTGTTGCGTAGGGTGTATGGGTGAGAGATCGGTCATAACAATATTAAATAGCTTTATCCTTATAAAAAAAAGTTATGCTATAGTATCATAGCACCAGCCTGTACAATTAACTTAAGTGTTCCATCCATAGATGCATAGTAGAGTTAGGTCTGTGCTATCTTTTGTTTGGTGCATACTAAATCTTGGCTGTACGATGGGGGCTGTTGTAGACTCTACTTTTAATTATTGTGTTTTATGATTGAAATTTCTTAGTTTGTATTTTTATCTTGACTTCTGCAGAGCCATTCTTCAATTACTGATGATGAGTCTAGGAGTTCTTACTCTTTCCATAGCAGAAATCAGAAGGAAGGCTGTACAGTTTATGGTCTTGACAAGGTTTCACAATTTTCCTTCAGTATTTAAATTTGAAACTAGAATTTGCAAACAGATACTAGACTTTACAATTCCTCTTATATTGCAATCTGATAGGAGCACCCTATTGGTGATGGGGCTGGAAATGTATTGTATGATGCAATGCGGAAAGAAGTTAGGCAAGCTGTTGAGGAAATCAGAAATCAGCTTGAAAAGGTATTTTTTCCCATAGTGAGGACCTTTTTTTTTTTTCGAAACCATAGTGAGGACCTTTTATTGTCTCTTCACCATTGGGCATTGGCTATCTTACCTTGACATAGATAATGACATTGAGTATGACAATGTAAACAATGCAAGAGACTTTTCTGTAGAGAACTTTTAACTGGACGTGTTGAGATCTTCATTGACCATCTTACCCTAATTCTAGAAAGTTTACTTGTATATTACGGTGCAGCTTAAGTTTTTAGTACTTGGTCCCTAATGCCTCAGGTTTGATTTACATTTACATTTTATAAAGAGAGGTTTTCATAATCCGAGGCATACAGGGAGCTGAGTTCTAAGCTAATGATTCGGTTCTGATCTAGAGGATATACACACTAGAACAGTTTGTACGTCACTTACGTTTCTTGTTTTATGCTGACATGCCAAAATTAGCACTGATATATGCTCCTGTGTTGTATGTTTGCGAACAAAATGTTATATGCTTATTCATTTGGAGTGCTTACTTAATGGGCTCCATGCTTTTGGATTGCCTAATTCTATTTATACGAAATATGGTTCTAATTCCTAGAGTATGCGTCCTAAACCTATAACTTCACATATCATTGAAGGATGTGCAGAATACTTCTGTTTCAATTGAGACAACATTAGTTTCTGGATAAGTAACAGTCAGGTTGAGTAGAACTGTAGTAACTTGGTGGCATGCTGATGCTGCAGAAGCATCTGTTTGACTGGAAGATTTTCTTAATAGAACAGTAGTTGCTGGATTTAAAAAATGAGTTTTGTTGAGTTGACGTCATGTCTTCCATTGAGGCCTAATTGTCAGGTCATCGGCTGCCTGTTAGGGGGGAGAAAATGATTAGGCCTTTTCTTGCTATGCATACGTTTTACTAGAACCACATTTTTTTTAAAGCTCATCGCCTCTCTTTCTGTGCATTTCTAGGCTGTGACAAAATCCGAACCTTCAGAAAAGGCAATAAGCAGTGATGCACAACCAACCCAAGTTATTACTGAGCTCCGAAGGAGCTACACTAATAAATTGGAAGAGGTATCTTTTGATGGAAAGAGAATCTATATATTTTTTTTGTAAAAAATATCTTTGATTGTTTCGAAGTCTTTATTCAATATTCACATTTGCTTCTTCGGTGTATCTTTTAGTCAGAGAAGCGGAAGCAGGAATTGTTAGCTCAGTTGACAGCAGAAGAACAACATGGTCATGAGCTCACAAAAATAGTTAGAGAATTGCTACCTACTCCTAAAAAGACTGCAAATTTACAAAAACAGCCACGGCACAGAAGAGTAAGTTTATTTGGTTGTCGTTCCATCGTTTCCAGTTAATACACTTATGAATTAGAATTTGACATAACTTTATTGCAGAGGAGCAATGATAGATCAAGGATGTCAAAACGACTTACTGAAGAGGCTGAGCAATACTTCGAAGATTTCCTGTCGAATGTTGAAGACACTGACTTTTCATCTTTTGATGGAGAGAGAAGTGACTCAAGTTCAGCCAGGAAAGACCTGTTACTTCATGCTATGACAGAAACCCCAGTTGGGCTCCCAAAAGTTACTTTACCTGCAGAGGCAGATGGCGTTGTCCTTCCCTGGCTGCAATGGGAAACTACCAATGACCTTCAGACCTCCCCGTGCAAAACCAAGGCCCAGGTAACGTCGGCATCTGTTTATCAGCAGAAATGGTAATCTGTATCTTGTCTTAAAATATAAAATATTGAATGGTCTTTATATGGTAAGGATTTGTGTGAAATGATGAAGTAATTTTTTTGATGTTACCTTTTCTCTAATTGCATGTTGAACTCAGGGAGAAAGTGTCAGATGCAGCACTAGCAATCATGCTACGAGCAGCCGTGGGAGTTGGAGCCCTGAAGACCATGCCACTTCAGTTGCCTCTAAAGATAGATTACTGACCAAGTTTGGTGAGGTTGGGATTTGCCGAAGCAGCTGCCCTGATTATGCTCGAACCTTGTCGTTTCACATTGACGACTATTTGCATTTGAGGCAGAGTGAGGATCTCCTCTTGGAGACGTGGATGCAGAAACAAAGAATCGACTCTGGCGGCCTAGCCCTGTGCAGTAAATCGACAATATTGTAGAGTGCAGTCAAATAGGTAGTTGATGGGGTTGAGTTAGACCAATAAATTCTTAGATTTTTACCTTTGGTTGCCATGGCTACTGCCGCCTGGCGTGTATAGATGCATGCATTGTGGTTAACATATTGGATTGGATAAGCTTTTTTAACGCTTCATCGTGATTAACCTGAGAATAGCACATAAACAATTATGAATTTTGACTGTCCAAAATAAATAAGGATGGAAAAGGCGGATGACTGCAAATTGGACGATAGGAGTAGGCAAGACGGGGGAACAGGACACATTTCTACGCAGAAAGAACAATGATAACAATGATAACTACAGGATAGAGACTTGTTCATAGCCTGAACGGCTCAACCGGCATCGAGATCATTCATCTCTTTGCACTTGTGTTATACTACCCCTTTGCCAATTCTATTCTTCTGAACAAGCAGTTTAGGACAAGAATTTGCATATTAAGATTCTAGGGCTCTTTTGACTGAAAAATCCAATTACATTGACAATATCAGTTCACTATAAATTATTGCAAACAATGGAGAGATGTCACAACTAAAAAGTGTTAAAACTGTACTACACAATTTCATATTGATTTTTCATGTTATGTACACTACTGTTATGGTTCTAATTACCATGTCGAATTTGAACTACACTAGATCCATGTTAGGTATGACATTGCAGATAGGCCTTATTGTTTTAGTATGACTGCCTTAGTGTATCACTAAGTATGGAGGAATTAAACATTTTAGGTAGTATGGTTTTAGAAGGCTTTAGGAATCGAAGAATGCCAAACTTACATTTACATCCATCCTTTTTTCGCCAGTTGATATTCTCAGGATCCATGGAGTTTGAAAGCTGCAAAAGTAACAAGATTCAGGACCAAGAAGAGTTACTAGTAACTCATTTGCCAGGTTATTTGTCCCGAATAGGAACCAACCATAGTGCATTATTGGCATTTTTTTGCCTATACTGAGCACTAACACCAGAAATATATCATCATAAGCCATTAACCACAATTAACATCATTTGAGCACTAATATGTGTTTCTTCTTTGTATCGACCAAAATGATGAACACTAATTATTTAGAAAATTATCATTCGGCCTCACTACCAGATTATACAGATAGCTAATTAAAGCTTTTCTACGAGGACAAGTTAATCAAATTGGATCTGAAAAGGTCAAAATGGGGGGATGAGAAGAGATGACTTCCTGCAGAACACGACTAATAAGTTGTCCTTTGAAATTAATAATCCTAGGAATTAATACAAACACTCAAGACGGAAAATTAAGAACTAACAAGGTAATTGCCTGCTATACAGTGGATCGGGAGCACCATTTTTCTTAAACCTGCTAGATAAGGCGATCAAACTCACTAGGCAAAAACGTCACCGCATTAAATTGATTAGGGTAATGCATGGACACATAAAGGATTGATAGGGTGCACACCTTGGCAGGTGTAACACTGCTGGCCGCCTGCAGCCTTCGGTCTTTGGTGTAGTGCTCAATATGATTGGCCTCGAATTTCTCACCACAATAAAGGCATAGGTTGTTGGCTCTTCTGTAATCTCGCAGTTGCCGTGCCTTCCAGAGAGTTTGACCAGGAGGACTTGGGTAGTGTGTTCCAGAAAATTTTGCAAAATTTTTCAAGATTTTTCATCACATCGAATCTTTGCCGTATGATTTTAAATATAAATAAAAATAAAACTAATTTTACAGTTTAGTCCAGAATTTTTAAGTTTAGTATGATTGAACACTAATTGACAAATAACAACGAAAATGCTACAGTAGCATTTTGCAAAAATTTTCGGCATCTAAACACAGCCTTGGCTTAGGATCTACCTTACCAAGCGCTACAGGAGCTTTGCCAGATTTCACATACTCTTGTTTAGAGTTGTCCAGAATTTGTTGTTGTACTTTGGCTAGCTTGAACTTGAACTGCTGCCTTGATATCCCATTTGAGGCCCTCAATAAAACAGGATATGAAGAAGAGCTCATCGTATCCAGTGTTGTGCATTGAAATCTGAAATTGCAGAGCTTCAAAGGTGGTGACATAGTCCTCGACTGCTCCAGTTTGCTTCAACTCGAACAACTCATTCAGAGCTTCTCTATAGGCATATGTGCCAATCTTAGATTCCACCGCTTGCTTGAATTGAGTCCAAGTTCCCAATCCATTTTGCTGCTTGTACACCTGCCACCATCGAGCTGCATTGCCCTCCATATGTAAGGAGGCTGAAGTGACCCACATTGACTCATGAACGTTAAAGATGCAAAAATAGTTTTCACATTTGTCAAGCCAAATTTTAGGATCCACGCCCTCAAACTTTGGAAATAGCATCTCGGGCAGAGGTGTATAGTTGTGGTGTGAATCACCAAAAGGCCTATGGTGACTGGGTTCAGTAGGAGGATGAGGCTGGCCACTGGAGAAAGGCCGCTCCTGTTGGGGAGGAATGGAAAACAGTGGAGATAGAGATCTTGGTGATTTGTCCTCTGTCTCAGCATCCATATGCTCTAAGGCGAGACGAGCAACTGCCTTTCCAATGTCTTCGATTTGTTTAACCATCAACTGCTGATCATGCGAGGCCTGCTTCGCATCTTGTGAGTTGAGATCCATTTTTGCCAGCAATTGCTGCTGCGTGGAGCCGATGTCCGCCACATGAGCAAGCAAGAGGTCCAGTCTCTCCATCAACTTGTCCCACTTCGCATCTTGGTGCTGCTGGCGTGTTGGTGTTGTAGGTGCCTGGAACTCATTGACGTCATCGTGGTTCACGACATCCAGGACGGGCAGGAAAATGGCATTGATACCTCTCTGTGCTTGAGTGCTTCCATACCAATAGCAGCCGTGTTGGTGTTGTAGGTGCCTGGAACTCATTGACGTCATCGTGGTTCACGACATCCACTTGTAGCATCGTCCATAGGTAGAATATCAGAACTGAGGTCATCGAGGGAGGCTTTGATAACAGTAGAAGAAGGAAACAATAACGACGATGAACTGGCCGTGGTGATGCCCTTGACCATGGAAACATCAGGCTCACTGGGCACACCATACTGGATATCAAGCTGACAACAACCATCATAAATATATTGCGACCATGCAACTCTCCGAAACCTTTAACAGCATCATATTTGGATCGGAAAACAACCTGAGCAGACACATGGTCTAACCCCCCAAACACTTGCACCTGCTCCATATCGCCAAATGGACTAAAAAGCTGATGAGGCACGTGTTCGGTTACAGGATAGCAAGCCTTGTGGATGGTGACCTCCAGGACGCGATTTGGGGGAGCCCGGCTCTGAGAACCGCAAGTAGGCAACCCATCGAACACCTGGTAGGCGTACACCTCATGGGTGTTGCCCTTGGAAACATCAGGCTCGCTGGGCACACCATACTGGATATCAAGCTGACAGCAACCATCATATATATTGCGGCCATGCAACTCTCCGAAAGCTTCAACAGCATCATATTTGGATTGGAAAACAACATGAGCAGACACATGGGCTAACCCCCCAAACACTAGCACCTGCTCCAAATCGCCAAATGGACTAAAAACCTGACGAAGCACATGTTCTGTTACAGGATAGCAAGCCTTGTGGATGGTGACCTCCAGGATGCGATTTGGGGGCGTCCACCTCTGAGAACCGCAAGTAGGCAATTCGATGAACACAGGGCAAGGTGAAGTTGCCGCCCCTGAGTGCTCTCGAACAGCTCCCAAGTCGACCGCCGCCTGCGCCGCCACACACCCACGCCTAGGATCGACCTTCTCTGATACCAGCAGTAATACCGCTGGCCACCGGCGAGGAGCCGGAGACGTGACCTCGCAACCAGATCACAGGCGATAGGAGAGGAGGAAAGGTTCCTCGCGTTCCTGTTTTCCTTTTTCGGGGTTCAGACCCAGTGTCACATCGTGTTTACATGAGCATGTCGCAAAAAATTAAATTATAAAATCCGTCATTAATTAGTGAGATCAATTTATTAAGCCTAATTAATCTATTATTATCATATGTGTTATTGTAACACCGTATTATCAAATTATAAACTAATTATATTTAAAATATTCATCTCGTAAATTAGTCACAAACTATATAATTAATTATTTTTAATCTATATTTAATGCTAGTGTTTAAATCTTCCATGAGAGGAACTAAACAATTGAGTTTCTCTCGACACATGCTCAGCTTATAGGTGGACCCATCCCTGTAAACAGGGACCCACACACTCCCTATCCAATAACTTAACGACACGCTTCAGGTTCTTAATAACCTGTGAGAACTCCGCACGCCGCCGGCGCGCCGTGCTCCCGTCATCTCATGACACGAATACACGATGCCCGTCCCCAGCCACGCCGCCCGACGTGGTCGCTGTCCACCGCCTCCTCGAGTCCCGCGGCCTTCCCGCCGCCGCGCACCTCGCTACCGCCTCTGCTTCCTCCTCGCCGCGCCGCGGTCCTCCTACACCGCCCGCTGCCCCCGCTCCTCGGCTACTGCCTCCACGCCCGCGCTGCTCGGCCGGGTCTCCTCGCGGACCGCTACCTCGCCAACGCGCTGAGGGTACGGCGACGATGGCGTCGTGCTGAGCGCGCTCGTGGACATGTACGGCCACTTGGGCGCTCCGGGCGACGCGCGGAGGGGCGTTCGAGGAAATGCGCGCCCCGGACGGGATACGCTACACGTCGTTGATATCAGCATTCGTGCGGAACGACTGGTTCAACGAGGCCCTGCGGTGGTTCCGGGCTCTGGTCGTGACAGATGGGGTTCGGCGGACGGCTGCACATTTGGCTCCGTGATGATGGCGCTGGGGAACTTGAAGAGGGCGAGGCAGGGTAGGGAGGCGCATGCGCAGGTTGTGACACGTGGTCTGTGTGGAAACGTGATCGTGGAGAGCAGCACACTTGACGTGTATGCCAAGTGCAGGATGATGGTGGATGCACGCAAGGTGTTCGACAGGACGAAGGTCCGGAATGCAGTTTCGTGGTGCGCCCTGCTTGGGGGGTATTGTCAAAGTGGGATG